GCCCACGAACGTGCCGTCCAGCTCGATGCTCTTGGGCGGGTCGCCCTCGGCGCCGATGATGATGCCGCTGCGCGGGTCGGTGCGGTAGCGCTTGTACACGTACTTGTAGAAGAGCAGCCGCTTGTCGGCCATCCAGGCGAACACCACGCACACCGGGAAGAAGACCAGCGTCAGCAGCGCCTCCCACACCTGCGGACGGTGCGCGGTCAGGGCCGGCGACCGGCAGGGGGCGCTAGCGTCCCCGCGCCCCCCACCCCGCCCCTGCACTCCGACACACACCAGGTGCGCCCCAGCCTCCCCGCGTGCCCTCCAGCCTGGCTGTCCTCTCCGTTCATCCTGGCCTTCAGTCTCAGTCTCTGCCTCGTTCCCCCCTCCCTTTCTCCTAACCTTCCAGCGCTCGCTCTTTCCCCGTAGGTCTCTCCGTCTCTATCCGCTTTGGCTCTGCCTCATTTTCCCCTCTTCTTCCTTCCTCCTCCTCCTATTTCTCTTCCTCTCTGCCTCTGCCGTCTGGTGTCTCAGCTGTATTTGGTTGTGTTCACCCTTCTTCCCCGCCTGGCCTCCTTGTCTCCGTGTCCCCCTTTTGTGTCTTTCCGTAGACCCGGACTCTCTCCCAGGATCTCTCTCCCCAGAGCTACTCCTGACCATGCGTGTGCATGCGTTTGCACGTGTGTGCATGCGCGTGTGAGTGTTCACGTCTCTCTCTTCCCTCCTGGTCCCCTCACCCATCCACCCATCCATCCACTCTGAGAAACACGCCCAGATGCCAGGAACCAGTTGTCCTCCGACACCTGCTGCAGACACTGCCACCATGGGTTCCAGCTCTGTAAGGGACAAGGCCTGAGTCTCTTCCTGCCTCTCCCTCCCTCCATGCATCTCCTGTCTGCTCCATTTCTCCCCGTCCCCGGGACCCCCCACCCATCCTTCAGGTCTGCTCTCTGCTCATGGACTCCCTGATCCCCTGTCCTGCACCAGTGACCAGGCCCTTCCCTCCATAGAATATATTCGGCTCAGAGCTGGTATGTGGCTCAGTGGTTGAGGCGCTGGACTCCCACATGGCAGACCGCAGGAGTCCTGGACCTGGTGGCTTGCTCTCTCACTTTCCCTCTCTCTCACTGGGTCTCTCTGATGAACACACATGCCCTGTAGCAAATCAGAATAATACTACAATTAAATAATTTTTTTTTAAAGTATTTTATTAAACTTTATTTATTTATTTAATTTGACCATACTTTTGGTTTTTATACCTCTGCAAGGTAGGTACTTAACTGTTATCCTCCTCAGAGGATGAAACTGATACTACTAAGCTCCCAAGTTCACAGCAATAGCACATAATGGTAAGTGGGTTCAAACTCAGGAATCTGATTCCAATAGCTCCAATACTCCTCTTTTCAGTTATCTTATTTCACTATCTCTTAATATTATCAAAGAGGACAAAATTCAGAGAGGTTATGTAAGCTTTTACTAAGCAACTACTTAGATTCTTTGGCTTTCAATTTTGTATTTCTTTCGTACCACAGGACTATTTTATGAACAAATGCTTATTAATGGAAATGAAGACTTGAGAAGACATCTGTAGACTATACACACACACATATATATATATATATATATATATACACACGTATATATGTATATATACGTGTATATATACATATATTTGGCTCTCAGAGACAGGACTCTAACCCTCAACAGGCCACACTGGGCTCACCCTCCGTCTCACAGCCTCATAAAGCGCGCTTTCACGCAGACAGGGCAGTCCGTGCAGAGGGCGTCAGTATCTCTAGCACTTAGCCTCGTTGGGTACCCACACAGGGAACACTAATGGTGTGGAATTAACATTGCCATTCTTAGTACGATTATCTTGGGCTGGCTGAAATCGGAGGCTCAGTTTGCCTTGGCCAGCATAGTCCTGGGTATGTACAGAAAACATCCACCTGGGCCAGCAGGTGGCGTGGTGGTTAGGATGCTGGACTCCCACATGGACCCAACTATGGTTCAGGTCCTGGACCGGGTGGCTTGTTTCCTCATCTTCCAATCTCTCTCTGGTGAGTGCAAGCTCCCTATAGCAAATTAAAATAACAAATAAAATTAAATGATTCTTTAAAAAAAAAATCCACCAAGACTGACAGTTTGCCTTGAAGCTATTCATGTAAAGACTCAAATGTTGCCTTTCTCTTAAAAGATCAGGAAGATGAGACCAAAGGGTATTTGCAATCAGATGGCCCCAGAAGTACTTAACAATCAGCTGGTAGGGAGAATACCTGTTAAGATCCAGTTGCTCGGTCCCATTGTCACTGTGTTTACTGATGGCTCAGTGACAAGGCAAGACTTGGAAATAGTGAAACGCTGCAGAGCCACCAGGCAGGCTTGTGAGCAGCAGGATTTCCAGCACAAGCTGACACGAGCTCTCCTCCTTTGTATTAACTGACCGGCCACCACAATGTGCAAGGGTCTCTGCTCGTTAGAGGAGAGCCTGCAACCCCCGAAATTCGCTGTCGTCCCTGCAAGGGGGCAAACGTCACCCCAGCAGATACCCCTGGTCCTAGAGCACACGCTGCATGGGGCACCGTGGACGTGCCCACCCAGGAGCACGGAGGCCCCTGCCGGGCTCAGTGCAGAAGAGGGGCAGTGTTGGGGCTGGTGGTGGGCAGCAGTAAAACGTGATGCTCTGTAAGGCTGACCCCATGGGAAGGTCCCCGGTTCTCATCCGAGACTTCCTGGGGTATGCCGGGCACATGTGTGCCCACAACCTAAGTCTGGCTGGGGCTGGATCACAGTATCAAGACCCTGGTAGGGGTATGTCTCTCTGTCTCTCTTATTCAGGGAAGAAATCAATTGAAAAGAAAACCCAGGGTGTTAATGGGTTGCCATCATAAATGGGAAAGGGGTATGCCCCCATCCTTCGATGACCTGAGGACCTCCAGCCATGCGTGGGCAGTCCACACAGCACGGAACTGGGCACATGCTGTCTCACGCCCCACTGGACACGCGCGTCTGTGAAGACTGCTCACGCTAGCTGGAGTCCGTAAGCAACTCTGCTTACATATGTCTGAAGTATTTCCCTGTGTGGCTTCACAAATGCCAAATACCCTTGCCTTTTTTTTTTTTTTTTTTTTTTTGGAGAGATTTTTGCTATAGGGGGTATGCACTAGCCAGAAAGACAGAGAGAGAAAGAGAGACAGAAAGCGAGAAACCATCCCCCAGGGGGGATGGCCACGCCACAATCCCTCCTCCTCTAGGGATTTTGGGCACGCATGCACACGCGCCCAGCGTGAGTTTAAGCTGCCGGGTCTGGGACTCGAACCGCAGGCAACTACATGGGAGTCCAGTGACATAGCCATTACGCTAACTGCTGCCCCCAAAAAACCCTTGCTTTTCATCCCATGGCTACCTGCTCCTTTGCCTCCATTTCTTGTATGGAATTGTTTCTGATCTTTCAGATGCCAGGGGCAGCGGGTGGTGTGGTGGTTAAGGCGCTGGACTCCCACATGACCAACCATGGTTCAAATCCCAGGCCCGGTGGCTTGAAAATTATGACAGGCATGGGTGTGTGCCTGCCCAAACTCCTGAGTGGAGAATGGGGGAGAAGGGCTTGCAGTGTGGTCGGTCATCCCCCTGGGGGTGATCTCTCACTTTCCCTTTCACGGTGTCAGTCTCTCCCCAGTAAGTGCACGCATCCTAAGGCAGAAACCTCTTCAAATAAAAAAAATAAATCTTCCCTTTATTTCAGTTTGGGCCTGGAACTGATCTGGGATGCCACCTCCGTAGCAAGTTTCTCGCTGTGAGGAACAGGTCACATTTCCTCTGCCCCAGGCACTCTGTTCTAAACCCTCCACACGTGACCCTCAAGGAGCCCTGTGAAGTCAGAACTAGGATGACCCCGTTTTACAGGCAAGAAAGGGACTTGCCCAGGTCACACAGGTAGGTAACAACAGAAGTGGGATTTGAACCCAGACCTCTGGCTTCAGCATTCATGAACCAAACTCTGAGGCCAGGACACTGTTGTATTACCTAGGAATTTTAGTTGGTCAGGGGCTGTGATAAAATATTTGTTATAGCAAGGGGGGTAGGGTAGGAAGGATCAGGAAACTGTTCTAATTCCCTCCATGATTCAGATTAAAAAAAAAAAAAAGTGAGGCTCAGAGACAGTGCAGACTTTGCCTGAGGTCACACAGCAACTGTGGAGGGGATTCTGAGCCAGACTGAGTTTCTCGCCCTGGTCACTGCATCAGGAGGAACGGCAGCATCCTCTCCTGCCAGTGCTTCCAGTTCTTTAATGAAAATGTCCCCTGGTTCAGCTCCTGGAGGGATTTCCCCCCACAAACTTCTCTCCCCGGAGGTGTGGCGTCTTAACACACTCCCTCCTCCTTAGGGCTCAGCCAGCTCTTTCTCAGAGGAAATGTCTCCCCCACCCCGCCCCTGCCCCACTTCTCCTCCATGATGTCTAAAATTCTTTTTCACAGCCTTGGTGCAATGCCCTCAAAGGCATTTTTTTTCTTTCTTTTGGAGAGTTTTTTGCTATAGGGCGCGTGCGCTCGCCAGACAGACAGAGACAGAGAGACAGAAAGCGAGAAATCACCCCCCAGGGGGGACGACCACGCCGCAATCCCTTCTCCTCCATTCTCCTCCCGGAATGTTGGGCACGCATGCACACGTGCCCAGCGTGAGTTTAAGCCACCGGGTCTGGGACTCAAATAGCGGTTGGCTACGTGGGAGTCCAGCAACATAGCCATTACGCCAACTGCTGGTCCCTCAAAGGCCATTTTTTAAAAAGAATGATTTATTTTATTTAGCTTATTATTTATATTTTAATTTGCTATAGGGTAGGTGCACTCACTAGAGAGAGATGATAGATAGAGGGAAAGTGAGAAGGCAAGTCTCCAGGTCCAGGACTCGAACTGTGGTTGGCCATGTGGGAGTCCAGCGCCTAAACCACCACACCACCTGTTGGCCCCCAAAGGCCATTTTAAAAGCCTAAGCCAGAATACCCTCATTTTTTTTTTTTTTAGAGAGAGATTTGGCTATAGGGTCCATGCACTCACGAGAGAGACAGAGACAGATGGAGAGAAAGAGTGAGAAATCACCCCCTGGGGGGATGAGGGATGACCATGCCATAATTCCTTCTCCTCCATTCTCCTCTCCAGATTTTGGGCAACACACACAATCAGTTTGAGTTTCAAGCTGCTGGGTCCAGGACTTGAACCAAGGTTGGCCATGTGAAAGTCCAGTGCCTTGACCACTATGCCACCAGCTGGCACTGGACACCCTCTTATTTACCAACATCTGAAAACTGTTGGTTGCATCATTCCATGCTTTTCACACGGACAGCCAGGAAACTCAGTCAGGGGCCAGTCACAGCAATTTCCTGTCCCCCGCTCTCATCCCCTGGCCTCAGTGTCACCACCTTCCCCTTTCCCAGCTCTGACGTTGACCCCGCAACACTACACCATCCCTTAGGTGGCAGCCACACGTCTTTCTATCTCGAGCTGCAGGTCCTTTCTGAGGAGAAACAACCCAGCCTAAGCCGATGGAGAGGCACGAAGAGACTACACACATGTGTGAATGAGTCCTGAGCACCCGCAAATAAATTATGCACGTGCGAGAATGAATTCGGCTCGGCTTATAAATAAATTATGCAAATGCAGACCACAGTCACAGAGCCGTGGGAAATAAATTAGGCAAATGTTGTAAAGGAAGACTACACAGTATGCAGGTTAAGACACTGGACAAATGCGAGGCAAATGACTCCGGGAACATCGGTGGAAATTATGCAGCTGTGGGTCTCAATTCTGTCTCCCTTTTGGAATAAATTATGCAAAGTAGTCATTGGGCTTCTATCAATGTTGGATTGGATGGGAGTGTAAATTACACTAAAGTAGCATAAATTATCCCAACATCAGAAATCAATTGTGAATAATGAATGAATTATGCAAAACATGATTACATATCGGACAAATACAGAGCTAAATTATGCAGATGCGAGTATGTATCGATGCAAACCTGGATAAATTATGCAAATTGCATCAAGTTACCCAAACCAATTAGCACTGTCAGAAAACACAGGGCTGGATTATGCAAATATAGTATGAATTATGTAAACAGCAGTGTCTTATTGCAAAAGTGGGAATAAATTATGCAAAAGGCAGGGAGTGTAGGAAAACATGCAAACACACACGGCATGCATTACACAGATCACAGGCGCTGCACGAGGCTGGGTGAAAGGTGCCACCCCTTCCCGATAGGGCTACTGACACAGTGCCCTCCTCTGGGCAGACGAGTGCTTGCAGCGTGTCGACTAACTCCAGCCCGATTTGGCCTCTTTGGCCCAGTCCCCCCGTGCAAGGTGTGACCTGCCCAGCCACGCTGGGCAGCTCTCAGAGGGGAGCAGCATTTCTGCAAAGACACGAATCGGCACTCCAGGCCGGGGTCCACTCTGAACTGTGCAGACACACATGCAGCATGGTGCCCGTGAGAACTTGCTCACCTGGACCACACCCGGGGAGAAGACGGCGAGGATGAGATAAAGCCACACGTAGGCGAAGATGCTCCAGGAGGCGGTGACGAAGAAGACCCTCAGGTGCTTGATCTTGCGGCTCTCGCCGGCCGGGATGACGTAGATGCACACGGCAATGACCACGAACATGTTGAAGGCGGCGCTGCCCACGATGGTGCCCGGGCCCAGCTCACCCGCCTGGAAGTTGTGGCCGCAGACCTCGATGACCGACAGCAGGATTTCGGGCGCCGAGGAGCCCAGGGCCATGAGCGTGAGATTGGACACAGTTTCGTTCCAGATGCGCACGGTGCCCACGCTGGTCTCGCCGTTGGCCTTGGTAATGGTAATCTCCTTCTCCTTCGACGTGATGACCTCGATGGATGCCATGAAGCGGTCAGCGATGATGGACACTCCCAGGAACATGTAGACCATGGCCACAAAGTAGACCACTGCCCGTGCCGCCTTGTCGCCCAGAGATGGGTCATCGGGCTCCCAGACGGGCAGCAGGACCCCTGGCTGGCAGCGGTTGGAGCCCTGGCAGCCCCCTGTGCCGGTATCACTGTCATTGGCCGGGGGAGGTGGCAGGGAGGGGGTGGGGGTGGCCGCCCCTGAGCATGGGGGAGCCCCCAGGAGGAGAGCGACCCCCACCAAAGCCAGGGGAGCCATGAGGGGTGGTGGGGTCCTGTGGGGAAGGAGGAGGAGGTCTGGGTGAGGGAGTGGACCCTCCCTGTGACATGCAAGTCAAAGCTCATGGGGGTGGGGGTAGGGGAAGCTGAGGACCGACCCGGGGAGGATGGGACTGAGGGAGACACGGAGGGCGCTAGACAGAGACCCATAGGAAAGGACGCAGGGAAATGAAGACAGAGAAACCCTCACGCGCTGCTGGTGGGAACAGAAACAAAACCTGGGGAAACGACAGCCAAATCTCAGCGTCCTGCAACTCAGCAGTTCTGCTCCTAGGTGGGAACCCAAGAGAAACAGGTCCCTGCACCCACCAGAGTCACCTGCGAGAGTGCTCGCAGCAGCTTTATTTATGACACCGCCACCTCGAAACAACCCCACTGCCCACCAGCATCAAGATGGGGAAACACACCATGGAATACTATGCAGCACTGAAGAGGTACACCCGACGACACAGACGAACGTCGCAGACACAGCAATGGTGAGTGCACCGGCACACAGGAGCAGCCTGCACAACTCAGCGGGGGAGGCCCTTGTTTGTTACATGGCGCCCATGGCTCTCAGGGGGTCCCTGCTAGGGACTGGGGCTGGGGCTGGGGCTCACTCACATCCCCCCCCCCAGACAGCGGCAGGTGCAGTCTCCCCAGGATCCCCGCGTCTCCCATCTGAGCCCTGAGTTGCATAGCTCCTTAGCGGCCGGGCTGCACAGGCCTGTGGGGGTTTCCTGTCCTGTTAGTGGTGGGGCCTGTGGCTCCAGCCCTTCCATCCCTCTCTGGTCTAGATTTTTTCTTCTGGGGGTGGGGAGAGGTTTTTGCTATAGGGAGCATGCACTCACCAAAAAGACAGAGAGACAGAAAGCGAGAAGTCACCCCCCACGGGAGCTGGCCACGCCGCAATCCCTTCTCCTCCATTCTCCTCTCGGGATCTTGGGCACGCATGCACACGCGCCCAGCATGAGTTTAAGTCACCGAGTCCAGGACTTGAACCGCGGTCGACTACACGGGAGTTCAGTGACATAGCCATTATGCTAACTGCTGGTCCCTAGGTTTCCTTTGAAAACACAGGTCAGCTCACCTCCCTCCTCTGCTCGGGACCCGCCCTGGCTCCAGCAGGACCAAGGTTCTCCCGCAGCCCACAAGGCCACGCACCATCTGGACCCCCTCCCACTCTGGCCTCATTTCCTGCCTCTCACCCTCGCCTCGTCTGCTCCAGCACACTGACCCACTGGACCAGGTTCTGCCTCAGGGCCTTTGCACCCGCTGCTCCCCTTCCTGGACACTCCTCCCCACATATCCACTATCCTCGCCTCCTGCAGGTCTCCGCCTTGTGTCACCTCCCCTCACCACCCTACACAAAATGACACCATCTCCCTTTGGGGAGTCCCCATCCATTTCACAGACAACAGGATCAGGCTCTGAGAGGTTAAATAACGTGCCCAAAGTCACCCTGTGACTCCCAGCCCTACGCTGTCATGGTAGCCCACCTGCCCTGTAAAAGGGAGTGAAAGAGAGGAGGCACCCTCCCAGCACCCGCCCTAGGGGCCTCTTTCTTGGTCACCAGCTTCACGAGTTCTCCCAGTGAAATTCATTTCTGTCCGAAGATTTCTCCTGGGAGTCTAACCCACAGCCTGCCCCAGCTCCCACCCATGTACCCACGGGCTGGGAACTGGCTCCTCTTGGGGAGGGAGGTAGAATGTTGGCAGAACTTCCCAGGAGTGTGTGCGCGCGTGTGTGTGTCTGTGTGTGCAGGCACGCAAGGGCGGGGGAGATGGGTGATTCTTAAAGGGCCAAGGAGCAATTAGCCCCCTCTGGCAAGGTCCCTAATGATAGATCTAATTAGCAGCCCCCTAATTAGCAAAGACTTACGCATAATTACAAACCCACCAGGATCCTGTGCAGAGACTCAGCTCTCTTCTCGCCTCCTCCCTGACTTCAGAAGAGACAAGGAAGGGCCACCCGGAGTGGAGAATTCATTAGACCCAGCTGTGGCCACCAGTGCTGGAAGCTGGACACTGCAGTGCAGGGCCAGCTGAGGCCACAGGGAGGTCCAGGTGAGTCCTCACCCACCCGGCCGAGCCCGGTGCATGGTCCCAGCTTTCTGCGGGTAGAGGACCATGACACTGAGACCAGGTCTAAGCCACCACACGCACACGTGGAATGTACTCAAGCGTCAACTCCCTCTCTCGGGGAGAGAGCTGCTGCCTGAGAAGGCCTACCCCAAGTCTAACCACCTGTCTGCTGCAGTCCTCGAGGGAAACCGGGGTCAGCCAAAGGGTGTTCTGCCTGCAATCCTGGCCCACGGGCAGCCCTGTGGTTTCCTCTCGCTGGGACCTTAGGGCTGAGGGGCTGGGAGGGAAGGTGGAGGTCAGTCTGGGAAGGAGTGGCCTCAGCCCTGAGCCCAGTTGCTGGGACAGCCGCTGGCTCTGCTCAGCTCAGCGCCTGTCTGCGCTGGCAGCCCTGAAACCTAATCTGGGTTTAGAAGCCTGGGGCAAAAGGATCAGGTTGAGCCCGGGGTGCTCGCTGGCAGGGCAGATGGCGGCCACCATCTCTGGTCCTGGAGAGGTGGTGGCATCTCCCAGGGCCGTGCCTCCCCAGCCTTGTGGGCCCGTGGCCAGCTGGGTCATTGACGAGAGTCCCAGTCCTGCCTAGCGCATCAGGAGCCTGTGTGTCCTCAACAATCGAGTGGAATGCAGGCTTAGGTCCAGCGTGGCATGCCAGGTGGGACCCCCTTCCTGATATCCCTGGTACTACCAGAGTTTGGGGGGTGGTTCCTGACACTGTGAGTAGTTGGGGGCAGCAAGGGAGGGGAGGTGCCTACAGCCTCTGGGACTTCAACTTCTAATCACTCAGACTGCCCAGTGTGGGCCAGGCTCTCCCACCACTGTGCAGCGCCCAGCCCGGGAGCCCCACTCTCTCTCTTCCCCTCTCCCTCCCCCCTCACACTCACACACACACACACACACACACACACCCCGTTTACACCCTCAGGGCTGTGATACACTGACGGATAAACTGAGGTCCAGAGTTGGAAAGGGTGTGACCAAGTCACACAGCCTCCAGTCAGGGTCGGAGCAGAGACAGGAAGTCAAGGCATGGGACTCCTAGCCTGGGGGAAGCCCACGCGGGCAGTCACAGGGCGGAGGCCCCACTCAGCCTGGAAGACAGGGGACACACACCAGGGCTCACAACTCCTTTTCATGCACACTCGCCCACCTCCCTCAGTCGGCTTCCCTCAAGAAGACCCCCTGACTTAGGAGGGCTCCTGCAGAGCCCCCAAGGGGGAGTGGAGAAGCTTTTGTGATTCAGCCCCACTGAGGACTGAACCACCCCGCTGAGGGCAGAACCAGCCCCGCTGAGGGCAGAACCAGCCCCCCGCTGAGGGCAGAACCAGCCCCCTGCTGACCCCGCTGAGGGCTGATCCAGCCCTGCTGAGGGCCAGATCTGAGGCTGGCAGCCATGAGGCTGGAAGCGGGCCGGCAGGAAGGCCTGGTCTGGCCCCGGGACCGAGCTGTGCTGGAGCAGGAAAGGTGTCCAGCCACTGTCAAAGGAACGGATGAGCCAAAGAATTGGACAGACAGCAGGAGGGACGGAAGTCAGACTGCAGGAAAGACGGTCCGTCTATACAGAGCAAAGGACAGACTAGTCCGTTCCTGCTACAGAGGGTACAGGTGAGACTGCAGGAACAGGGCAGGGGCAGGGGAGCAGGCCGGGCTTCATCCGCTGGGAGTGGGGGATCGCTGGGAGTGGGAGATCGGGTGGACGCCAGCTGGGAGGACAGCGAGGGCTCAGTGAGAAGGGAGAGGAGTTTGGACTCCAGGCCTTCTGGGAGCCCACTCTGCGGGGGCTCTTCCTCCGGGTCTCCCCCTGCCAGGGCGCGGATAAAGGTGTGTAGGAGGAGAGTTAACTGCTCCCAGGGAGAGGGAGGGAAGAGGAAGAGAAACAGAGACTGAGATACCCAGAGATAGAAACCAGAAAGAGAGACAGGGAAGGGAGAAGACACACGGAAATGGAAAGAGATCACACACGGACAGAGATGCAGGAAAACTGAGACAGTGGAGAGAAGAGAGACAGAGACAAACACAGAGATGGCGCAAGAGGAAGGCAGAGAGAGACCCAGGACTTAAGAGTCCTGACAGCACAGAAGAGACTCCCGCACAGAGAGGGGGAGACAGGGTGAGAGACCCAGAGACAGGGACTGGGCAAGGGACTCGGAGAGGCAGGCAGACTCCGCCAGAGACCCCTGAGAGATGCGGAGAGACAGAAGACGAGACCAGACACAGGAAGGCGGGGGGGGAGGCAGAGAGCAGAGGGGGGCTGCTGGGACGGCGGGGGCGGGGTGTTCTCACCCCCTTAGTGCCCAGGAGCGCCCCTTCCTCAGCCCCATGGCGGGGGACAGGAGGATGCAGGAGAGCTGCAGGTGCTGGGGCAGGGGCGGCGCCCCCACCCCCGGAAGGCCCGGGAGAAGCAGCCCACACTCCCGTGAGTGAGCTCAGGGGCTCCGGGCTCCTCGCCCGCCCTCCCTCCACAGCTGGGCAACGCCGTCCTTCGCCCACGCCCTTCCTTCATTCTCCTCTCAGGATTTTGGACATACATACACACATGCCCAGCATGAGTTTAAAGCCACTAGGTCCAGGAACTGATCTGTGGTCAACTATGTGGGAGTCCAGCAATGTAACAGTTATACTATCTGCTGTCCCCATAACAGGATGCATCTTTAAAGACATTACTCAAAAAATTCTTCCTGGGTTATTACCATTGTGGAGTAGTGAAAATACACTGCTCAAGAGAAGGTGGATCCCACATGGAGACCATACTTTGAACCCTTGTGCAAGAATTCAGGATCCAATGGGCTAGAAGACTGGATAAAGAGAATCACAGCATGGCTAAATCCTGAAGAGGGTGCTCATCTCTCTATTTTTACCTCTCTCACACACACACACACACACACACACACACGCACGGAGTCTCCAATCCATACAAGGGCCAAAAGATGCAAAAACAGCTACAAATAGTTACAGGCTCACAGAACTGGGGGAGGGCAGGAATGTTCAGCTGGAGTCAGACCCAAATTCAGAGGCTGGGCCCGCACTCATGGCCTCACAGCGAAAGCCACAAACCGCCACAAAGGCACTCATTAATAATAATAACAACAACAACAGGGCCATTCAGACTGCCCTGACCACTTGCCAGGCACTGCCTTCATGTTTCTGTAAGGGCCTGGCACCTGCTGACACCGTCTGCCCTCATGCCAACCTTGGGAGGTAGATGATTTCAACCCATTTTACAGACAGGGAGACTGAGGCATGGGGTGGAGAATAAGGCTCGGGGTGCTATATCCTTAACCACCACACGACACCCCAGGCTGAGGGCTAGGCAGGAAGGCAGGAAGCAGACTGCAAGGGTCCAGGTGGGTAGCCCAGGCTGTGGTCACGGCCCGGAAGTGGACACACACACAGGCACGCTTGAGCCCACGCTCACCTCCCCAGGTGCCCTTGTCACAGACCTGGCACCACTGCCCTCGCCCCCAGTTCCATCCCAGCACGGGTGGAGTCTGAGCTGGTCTTGAGAGCCCATTCCACAGGAGGGCAGTGGGAGGGAGGTGCCCCTCTCCCCCAGAAGCCAAGCACATGCCAGGCTTAGCCGGACACTAGGGCCTGCTGCCAGCAGAGGGACAGGACCCAGCTCCCTGCAACTTCCCATGCCTGGGCCTGCCCTCTGGGAGAGGGGACGGCGACGGTGTGGCCAAGAACTGGTGGATTCCTCTCCTCAGAGCCCGTTGAGAACGGTGGCTAGGTCTTCGGCAGCGGCACAGACGGGCAGACTTGTGGGTGGACTTCCATGATAGGAGGCAGACAGATGGCTGGAATGACACCTCCTCCCTGAGGAAGCAGGTGTCCCAAACAACCCCTGCCCCAGGGAGGAGGAAGTCCTGGCCCAGTCTGGATCCAGCTCAGAACGACTCCCCAACCCTGCTGACCCCGATTCTATTCCTGGCTTGCAGTTGGGGAGGACAAGCCTCCCTGCCATTCCCGCCCTCCACTGGCCCCTGGTTCCTTCTCTGGTACCACAGAAGGGAAGTGGGAGGGGCCACTCCTACAGCCACAGGCTGGCAGTCAGCCGGTCTCCACTCCCCTGTCCCTTGCAGATTAGGGCTAAGCTCACTCCAAGTGCAGGACAGCCTGGGTCTCACCCCGTACTCCCCACCAGGATTGACCCTCAGTGCGTCCTTCCGGGGTCTAACCATGGTCATTTCTGTAGTCATTCCCTGGAAGTCTAGCCTCAGTGGCCCGCAACACCATGAACACAGCACCCCCACAGTGGGTTCTTTCTACCCAAAGCTTTTCCTCTGAGGTGTGACTCTTCATTTCACTGGGCCCTAACTGGAGATGGAGACCTCCCCTCCCCACTGGGGTCTAACCTGGGATGGAGACCTCCCTTCCCCACTGGGGTCTAACCTGGGGTGGAGACCTCCCCTCCCCACTGGCCCTAACCTGGGATGGAGACCTCCCCTCCCCACTAGGGTCTAACCTGGGGTGGAGACCTCCCTTCCCCACTGGCCCTAACCTGGGGTGGAGACTTCCCCTCCCCACTGGGTCTAACCTGGGATGGAGACCTCCCCTCCCCACTAGGGTCTAACCTGGGGTGGAGACCTCCCTTCCCCACTGGCCCTAACCTGGGGTGGAGACTTCCCCTCCCCACTGGGTCTAACCTGGGATGGAGACCTCCCCTCCCCACTAGGGTCTAACCTGGGGTGGAGACCTCCCTTCCCCACTGGCCCTAACCTGGGGTGGAGACTTCCCCTCCCCACTGGGTCTAACCTGGGATGGAGACCTCCCCTCCCCACTAGGGTCTAACCTGGGGTGGAGACCTCCCTTCCCCACTGGCCCTAACCTGGGGTGGAGACTTCCCCTCCCCACTGGGTCTAACCTGGGATGGAGACCTCCCCTCCCCACTGGGGTCTAACCTGGATCTAGACAAATGCTCACGGAACAGAAAGGACAAAGACAACTGAGAGCTTTGTTCCTCCGTGCGTGTAAGTAACTGACACCGACCAGTTCTCACTAAGAAGGGGACAAGGGGGGTCATCCCCATTTTCAAACAGGGACACTGAGGCAGGAGAGAGAAGTGGGTCAGCCGGGATCAGTGTGCATGGGGCAACGCCAGGGCAGGAACTCACAGCTCCACAGTCCTGGGGGTGAGGGGCAAGGGGCAGTCCGTCTTTCGAACACCTACACCCCCCCCCCATTAGCTGGAAGTGAGTATTCCACGTGCTGCCGCAGGCCTGGCAAGAGCAGGCGGTGGGTGCTCAGGAGGCTGGGGTCTCAGCAGGCCCTGGCCCCACCCTATCCCCCAGCGCTTGTGGCCGACGCCTCTTCTGCTCCACTTGATGCCGAAGCCGGGCCAGGACCAGCTCTGAGGCCTGGATCAGGCTGTGCTGTGGGGAACGAGAGGGGACAGGCTGAGGCAGTGGAGGCTGCAGGGGCAAGGGAGAGGGTGGTCAGTGGTCAGCGGCCCAGGCCAGGAGCTCAGCCGAGGCGGGGCACGGAGAGGTCACTGTGTGGGGCAGCAGTGGCCTCTGTGACAACGAAACCCAGGGCACAGCCTTACATGAATTCTCAGTGCAAGGACAAAGCCCAGACCCAAATGTCAGAACTCAGGTTGGAAATCTGAGGGGTGAAAATAGGGTGAGGTCACATTACAGCAGACTGAGGGCCGGCCACTGGGGACGGACAGAGGAACAGCTGAGCGGAGCAGAGGAGCCAACACTGGAGGAGAGCAGAGCACAGCGGGCAGCTGAGACCCGGGGTTTGCAGGCTCTGAGGCTGGATCTTAATAGAAGGAACTGAGAACAGTGACACGAAATAGACCCTGAGGAGGGGTGAGGTGATGGCCACTTCATAGGACAGGAAGTCCTCCCACGGTCAGGCTTCGACCTCTCCACAGGTGTTTTCCACCAGGAGCGAATCCATACGCTTCCCACTAGGGCTTAAACTCAAAGCTCTGCAGTGGGGTCTAACCTGTGCCCTCCGCGTCGGGGTCTAACCTGTGCCCTCCGCCTCGGGGTCTAACCTGTGCCCTCCGCGTCGGGTCTAACCTGTGCCCTCCGCGTCGGGGTCTAACCTGTGCCCTCCGCGTCGGGGTCTAACCTGTGCCCTCCGTGTCGGGTCTAACCTGTGCCCTCCGTGTCGGGTCTAACCTGTGCCCTCTGCAGTGGGGTCTAACCTGTGCCCTCTGCATTGGGGTTGAAGCTCAGAGCTCTGTAGTGGGGTCTAACTTCATGCACCTCCACTGACGCTAACCTCATTCCATTTCATTCAGGACTAATCATTTTTCTCTCCACTGTGGTTCACCCTCAGACCCTTCCACTGGGGTCCGACCTCTGTCATTCCTCTGGAGGGCTAATCTAGACCATCCAAGTGAGGACTCAACTGTAGGAAAAGTCCCAAGTCATGACCACAGAAGCAGCAGCAGAGATCTAACCCCAGTAGAAATGGCTGAGGCTCTAACCCGTGAGAGCCCAGTTCCACCACACAAGAAAGGATCCTAGAATTGGCCTGGCGGGAAGAAAAAAGGCAAACGAAGATTTAGAGACACGAAGATTTAGAAACAGGCCCATCACAAGCTGAAGGAGGGGGGGCATGGGCCACAGTGGAAAGGTCAGAGGTCAGACTGCACAAGTTGGAGGTTAGACTGCCACAGAGGACTCAAGATGACCTGGGGGCCACTTGGGACACTTCCCTGAATGCGGTCAGGGGTTACGTGGTCAGGCTGCTGCAGGAGGTTGGAGGTCAAGTTATAGAGGATGGTGTTAGTCTCCAGTTCAAGGCTGGACCACGGCACAAAGTTCAGAGGTTAGACCCAGGTGAAAGTTCAAGGTTAGACGACAGCACAAAGTGGGAAACCAGCGTGGGGCTGGAGGTTGCACCGCAGGGAAGACAAGAGGGGCGACCTGGAAGTCAGAACCTCAACAGCAGGTTGGCAGTGAGATTACGGCCAGGGGGACACTGGTCACGGACAGAGAAGAGAGCTGGGCTGAGCGAGGGGGGTCAAGTCGCCACCCGACACAACAGAGCGGGCATGGCACGGTTACACGCCGTGAGAACAGGGTTAGAGCGCATGGGGGGCGGACCCCAGACTAGGCCCCAGTGTAAAGACAGAGTTGGAGCATGAGGAATGAGGGGCGGGATCTAGGAAGACCTGCTGGAGGCTGAGGGCAGGCCAGGGGCGGGACTGGGAGATAGCACATCTCAGTCCCCTTGTCTGGCTGGTGCCCCAGCCCTGCTACTGCCAGCACTCACAGTGCCCTGCTCCTGAGAGGGTCCTGGACAGCCGAACCCCCTCAAAATAGGTCGCTTCCCCCGGGAGGTGCCGCAGCCTGGACACACTGACACCAGCCTGCAGATGGGGTCTGGCTGAGGCTCCCCACTCCCTCAGTAAATGGGGTGTAATCTCTCTCCATTTTGTCACCCTTCCCCACCGGGTCCAAGAGCCTGGCCTACCTGCAGGATGTGCACACCCTTCAAGGAGACCACGGCAAGCTCCCGCAGCCCGTCCCCGGTCAGGTCCACGTGAGCCATGGCCAGCAGGGGGCTGGAGAAGCCCCGCTGCCACAACAGACGGAAGCCACGCTCAGCCTCAGGGCTCCCAGACTCTGGGCCGCAGTACTTGTAACAGAGCAGCTCCTGCCGGGGTGAGGGGTCAAGGTCACACGGTTGATGGGGGGAGGTGAAGGGAGGCCGGCCTGTGGTGGCCCCATCCCTCATGGCCCACCTGTCCGTAGGTGGCCACCAGGACTTCTGGCTGCCCATCCAAGTCCACGTCGGTGACCAGGCCACAGAGGACGCTGTCAAATTGATCACTGCTGGGCAGGAGGAGTTGGTCCTCGAGGCCTTGGTTCAACAGGTCCCTGTGTGACCGGAGTGCAGCGGAGGCTGAGGTCAGCCAGCAGTGCCTGTCCCCTCAGTGGCGGAGCCCGAGCCAGGTTCCCGCACTGCTCCCCCCAAATCTGGACACCCTCAGCTCTACCTGGGACCTCTGCAGAGCACCAGCAAGGGCTCAGCCTGGATGGTTCACCCCGGGATGTTTAGCTCTACACCCCAATCCGGACACCCACACTGACTCCTGGAGGCCGGGCCATCTCACTCCCGGGTGAAACCCACTGCTCCTGGGGATTTAAACACTCTTGTCCATAGCCTGGACCACCATGTTCCCCCTGGGACCTTGGAGACCTTGGGTGTGCCGGGGTCGCCTTGCCCTGGCTTATGAGAGCTGGCAGGGAACTTTTCTGAAACTCTGGCATCACACTGGCGGTTTAAAATGCACCATGGCGGGAGTATTTACAGGGAAACTGGTAAACACCACACCCCTGGGCATCCTTCCCACAGAGCCGGTGTCTGTGTGCGCCAGCAAACCGGGTCCAGCCACTGCGGGGGCATAGACACCCGTCAGATCTACACTTCACTCCGTGCAGTCTCTCCCTGGGTCTCCTACACCTGTACTTGCTGCGCCCTGCCTATCCTTCCCAGGGGACTTTGCCGTGAATGCCAAGGTTAGACCATCGGCGTGAGGACTTGAGGCTAGACTGCACCCACGCCCCCGGGCCCCTCACCAGTACACCACTGCAGGTTCCAACATGCTGGCCACGAGCACGCTGTACTCTTCCAGTCGCGGCCTGCCCTTGGGCTCTGGAGAAGAAACGCGAATGGGGGAAGGTGTGTGGGGACAGATTCTAGGCTCCTCCTGTATCCCTGCCCACGTCAGTGAGAGGAAAGCAGGGTGGATCTCAGGAGAAAGACTTGAGGCTGCACTACAGAGGGAGGCTGGAGGACAGACCACAAGAGGAGACTGGTCGGACGCCAGGAGAAATGGGCATTCGACGACATTCTCAAAGTCTAGGTTAGGCCACGGTGGGAGAGACGAGGCTGGACGGCAGCAGAGAAGCCTGAGGTCAGACCATAGCGGGAGGGTCGGGGAGTAAGCCACGGTGAGGAAAGGAACTAGAGTAAGACCACCTAAGAGACAGGAGACGGCTGTGGCTGCAGGGCCGGGCTGGGAAACGCCACTGAAGGATGGATGACGGTAAAGGGACAGGTCCACACGTGGGCGGCTAAGCTGAACCCCGAGTGGTGGGCAGCGGTGAGTCCACGAGAAATGCCTGGGGTTAGACCACAGCCGGACACAGAGGAGACCAGAGGGGCGGGCTCAGTGAGTCGCGGTGTGAGGAGAGAAGGTTAGGCCATGGAGGGCGAGGTGGAAATTCACCTCCAGGGTCAATGTCTGAGGCTAGACTACAGGGGAGAACAGAGGGAGACCCTGACGGAAGAGAGCCAGTCAGACCTGGACGAGCAGCTGGGAGTTAACTTCAAGAGAATAGGGGTGGGAGGGGTGCTGTGGGCCCAGGGCCGGAGAGGGGATGTGGGAGGGAGGGACAGGGCTGGACACTTTGGGAGGGGGACACAAGTCTGGGTGGGGAGCTGAGTCTGCAGAGCTGCCTCCCGGCCCCACTTCTCTCCCCCACCACCCACTGTCCCCACCCCCGAGCTCACCCTCAGGGGCCGAGAGGCTGAACACGATCACTCGGGAGATGGGGCCATCCTGCAGGACTGTCCACGTCTGCAAAACCTCTGTAAAGAGCGAGCACTCAGGGCTCTGCCTGCAGCCCTTAGCCCCTAGCCCCGGCCTGGACTCACCTCGAGTCTGCTGGTCCACGTGGGCGACACGGACGTAACCACTCTGACAGCCGAGCGCGGAGAGGCGCCGGGAAGTGCCGGGGAGGTTGTGGACATCAAGCCAGAGGACACTTGTGGGTGGGAGGTGGATGGATGGACCCGTAGATGGACAGGTGGACGGACAGGATGAAGGGCCCAGCCCCACACTGCTGCCTCCCGGGGAGCATCCACTCCTCCCTGTGGCCCAGGGACCCCGCTGCCTGGCTTCTCTAAGTGATCCCCACCGCCCCATTTCCCTGGGAGTCGCTCCCTCCCCCGATCACTGAGCCTGCTGGGATCCCACTGTTGGTCAGCTTCTCCGGAATCATGCCATGCCCTGCCTTGCTGAGATCTTCCTCCTGCTGCCCCTGTGATCAGTCCCACCCCCTGCTCTTCCCATCCCCACTGACCTCTTTTGGGGATTCTCCTACCTACTGGTCAGGTTCGTGAGCTCAGGGAAGAGGTTTTCCACAGGCTGTTCCTCGAACTGATGTAGCCCCTCGTTCTGGGGGAACCAAGACCCACCCACACCCCACTGGAGTTAGCTACCAGCTTCTCGTACACAGCCCAGCACCAGCCCATGGTGACCCCCAAGTGGGCGGAGCTCCTGCCTCACCTCCTTATAGAGATGAATGGCCGGATCATTCCCACTCAGAAGGAACACGGTCTCCATTTGATCCCCAACCTGGACCCTGAAAGCAGAGTACTCTAGAACCCCAAATGGTAGAACCCGAGTGTGGTAGAATCCATTTGAATGGAACCTACATACTTTGGGATTATTTATTTATTTTTATATGCTATAGGGCATGTCATGTGTGCTCACTGGAGACAGAGGGAGAGAGAGAAAATGAGAAAGCACCTCCCAGGGGGACAACCATGCCACAATCTCTTCTCCTCCACTTTCCTCTTGGGATTTTGGGCATGTGCTTGGCATGTTTATCAAGCCTATGGGTCCAAGACTGAAACCAGATCGGTGGCCATGTGGGATGCAGCCACCCTAACCCCCAGGTCACCTGTCCCTGCTTTGGGATGCCACACCTTTGCTATTTTAGAGGATCTGTACACTATCTCCTTGGAATATGAGAACGTTGGGACTTTCTCGTTACAGAATCTCGGAAGATTCCAGTGGGGAATTCTTGAACATTCAAGTGGGGACTGTTCAAATTGTAGAGTTTACAACGCTAGAAAACATAGCATCTCGGAAAGTCAGAATCAGAATTCTAGATGTCTAGAACACACATGCCCGGTTAGTTCTCTCAGATCATCTATTAGGTCGTTGGGAGAGTCACGATGTTATTTTTCTATGCAAAAATGTGTCATGACTTTCCTGACAACCCGATAGTTCAGATGAAAACATGATGATGGCCCTTTAGCTAAGTCCGGTCCATGGCCACGTTCTATAAAGCAGAAATTAGAATCTGATGGTCTATGGGCAGGATGGGGTCCACCGTTTACGCCAGTCCTTCAGCCCCTCTCTCTCTGACACACTCACCCTGCTGCGTTACACTTGTGCCTTCTCACTCTCAGGCTACCTTTCTAGTCCTTGAAGTCATCTCAGCTTGCCACCCCTGCTCTAGTACACCCCTCGGTTTTCCAGACAGAGTCTCAATATAAGGAAGGGGTTTGAGAACCCAGGGCTCCTTCTACATCTTGAGCAGTGGGCGTGGGACACTCACTCTGCGTGGCACAGCTGGAAAGGAGTGAACTGGAGCTCCAGGTTCAGACAGCTCTCTGCAGGGGGAGCACAGGCAGGTGGACACGGGCCCTCCCCAGGCCCCCCTGCCCTGCCCTCCTTCTCACCCGGCCACACTCACGGGCGATGGAGTCAAGGTTGTACTCGGAGCCAGGCTCATAGTCGCAGTAAATGTTAAGGAAGGGGCTGCCCTTGTCCCCTGAGTCCTAGGGAGGAAACTGGCCTCAGGGAAGGCAGGGGCGGAGGAGGGATCTGAGGTAGACCCATCAAGTGTGTGGGGAAGGCGTGGGGAGAGTCAAGGTGCTCTGGGTACCTTGATGAACGTGATCCCCACGACCAGACCCCGCTTTGGGGGTGACTTGTTGAAGGTGTCGATGGAGACGATCTCGGCATCCACTGGGAAGGGACGGTTCAAGTTCACATTTCAGGCAGACTCGTGATCCAGAATACCACCAATCACAGTGAACTCTGGCCACCACCATTATCATGACTTCTAGATCTAAGTGAGCCTGATTGCCATCACCATGACCTCTGACACTGGATTCCAAGAATTCTGAACCCTAACCACTTCCAGCTCCACTGGTTATCAGCCTTGACACCCTTCATCCCCCCGCCCCCCATGGCGACCGGCTCAGACTGAGCCTCAGAAGCCTTCTCAACACCGCGTTCCGAGACCCCCACCCCCAGGCGCCACGCACCGGGGATGTAGTTGAACTGCAGCTCCTTGGCCACTGGCCGGATTTTCTGTCGGAGGTCTTGGTAGCGAAAGCCGAGCACCTTGCCTTTAAGGGTGGCGGCCAGCAGCTCCCCGCGCCCCCTCCCGCCGCCAGCAAGCCCGTACACATTGCTCTGCGACGAGAAACGCGTGAAGCTGTCCTCGCGCAGTGGGCAAGGCCCCGCGGCCACGGCCGCCTCCCCCATTATGCCCCTCAGCCACTCATCCTCTCGGAGTCCCCGCGGAGATCCACCCTACCCCATCTACGGTTCCCAAAGCAACCCGAACCGGCCGGTTCTCGCCTGTCGCGCGCACTGATGACGTAGGAAGGTGTCGCTGCCCCTTACCAAGATGGTGGCCAGCGGCCCACTGCGCCTGCGCATTCTCCCTCGTTCCACTTCTGTCCTAGGAAGGGGACTACACTCTTTTTTCCCCCCAGAGACAGAGAGAGACATAGAGACAGAAAGCGAGAAATCACCACCCAGGGGGGATGGTCACAACGCAATCCCTTCTCCTCCATTCTCGGGATCTTGGGCACGCACACACACGTGCCACGCACACGCGCCCGGCGTGAGTTTTAAACCACCGGGTCCGGGTCGTGAAACGCGGTCGACTACGTGGGAGTCCAGCGACATAGCCATTATGCTAACTGCTGGTTCCCGGGGACTACACTCTCTAGTGTGAGACTAGCCACAGCTCTGGCAGCCCGGCCCTTCACCGTAAGCTTGTGGAGGGTAGACCTGTTAGACCTAATAGTGCCCTTAAGTGCCAGGAACTCCTGTACATGCATTTCACCTATTTATTCAAAATTCATGTGAGCAGGCCGAGGTAGGTGCATCTCAGGTGAAGGAAGTGAGGCACAGAAAGATACAGTAACTGGTCTGGTCTGAGCAGCAGTCGCTCAAGGGAACCACAGTACATTAGTAGTATTTCCTTTAAAATGGCGAAATACATTCTTCTTACTCCCAACAACCTCCTCCTTTATCGGGTGCCCACTTGGTGACAGGCTGTTGGCACTGACCATGAGATTCCTGGTGACCACTTGGTTGGGTGGTGATACCGCCCCCCCCCCTTTATTCATTCAATATTTATGCAACTTTCCTATGTGGAAAGACAT